CATATAATTGTGTGCGTGATAGCTGTATGCTAATGCGAGTTAGCCATTTAACTGTGTGTGATATCTGTATGCTAATGCGAGTTAGCCATATATCTGTGTGTGTGATAGCTGTATGCTAATGCGAGTTAGCCATATAACTGTGTGTGTGATAGCTGTATGCGAATGCAAGTTAGCCATATAACTGTGTGTGATAGCTGTATGCTAATGTGAGTTAGCCATATAACTGTGTGTGTGATAGTTGAATGCTATTGCAAGTTAGACATATAACTGTGTGTGTGATAGCTGAAGGCTAATGTGAGTTAGACATACAACTGTGTGTGATAGCTGAAGGCTAATGTGAGTTAGCCGTATAACAGCATTGGTGTGCTATGCCCTCTGCCAAAGAGACGACCGGAGGAGCAGGGCCAACTTGCCCTGGCCAGTGCCACAATGCCTGAGCAGGGAAGAGTCAAACACTAACTCAAAACCACTTGGTTCCATCCACTAATGCTAGGGGCCTGAAGTTGAGGCCATACCTGATATACCTCCACAGTCAGATTAACGTGGTGTCCAATGCTGGACCTGCCTCCCATGGAGGCCCCCTCGAGGTGGATGGATGCCGTGGCGACACGGCTACCCACTCCCCCCCGGCCTGGGGCTGCTCCAGCTGTGACAGGGATTGCAGGGGAATTTCATCATACGCGCCGACACAGTGAACAGCGTCCCCACCACACCAGCCCCCAGCCACCATCTGCATGTGGCGCTAATGTCGGAAATGCGTTACACCGGGGTCTGTGAATCACCTCATCTTACACTGTGCTACATGCTCACCTGACCGTGTCACACACATAGACATACAGGCACACAGACACACAAACACACACAGACATACAGGCACACAATCACATACACAGACCTGCTTGCAGGTGACCCTCTCAGCAAACCGTGATTCACACCGTGACTGAGGACACCTGCCACTTCCTTTGTGTTGCCTAGCAACAGCCCCTTCGGTGCCGGAGGTTGCACGCTTGACGTGAGCAGGCCCAGTCTTCCGGTGCGCCACCGCGTCGTGGTTGGGCCTACAGACACCAACCCCCAACAACTGTGCTCCCAGACATACAAGACCTAAACCACCCGCATGTTTCAGACACTGGATCACCCTGAATTCTGTTATAATATTCCTGAGTGCTGCTCTGGTGTTTAAATGTTTCTGGCACATGCAGACACACACACTCCTGCAACTTCCTGAGGAAACCCTCCACGTGACAGTGAAAGCCTAAGGCAGAGGGTAAGGCAAGCTGCTCTCATACACCATCCCCACAGGAAGTGACATCAGCACAGGGAGGACTAAAGCCCTCAGGTCCAGCAGCAGGGGTCACACATCATGATCCAGTGATTGGCAGATGACTGAACAGCCTCCCTGGGGCCCCCGGCATCTGTGAGAAGTGGCGTTCCATTCAGCCAAAAGGAGGGACCGGAACTAGCTGCGATTGACTGGGAAATCGGCAGCCTGGATGAGGGCCAAGGCTACTAGGTGGCGCCGCAGTCTGCAGGCGGGAACCCTGGAGCTTTCAGGATGAGCAGCCAGCTGACAGGAAGAGGAAGGACCTCCGGCATCTTGGATTGTTCCAAAATGCTTGCACTTGTGTTGGCAGTTTGCAGAAGTACCCTTGTGCCCCCACCCCGCAATGATGTTGATGGTTCGAGGGTCGATCAGCAGCCGGGGGCTGGGTGCAGTGACATTGTCTCTCCATCACCGAGGCTCCATCCTTAATACTCGTTTTAAATAGTAACTAGAACATCTGCTGCCAATTTGCGCTGTGGCTCGCCCCTGGGGTGGGGGGGGCAGAGATAATTATCTAATTAAGTACCAATTAAGCAAAAAAAAGGGAACAGTGACTAATCAATATGCACTACTAGCCCAGGCATTTCTATCTCACTGCCTCCTTCAGGAAGGTGAGTGAAGAGCCACCTTAAATCTGAGAGGGTTGGGTGGGCGGATTTGGTGAAGTAAACAATGAGTTTCTCCCCCCGTAAGGAGAAATCTGGAACATGTGATCAGACACTCTCTGGGATTACCCCCAAAGCTCACACAACACAATGCCATCAACATGGACCACACCCCACCACCTCAGGACACCTGTGCACAGCCTGTCCAGTAGGGGGTGTAGCGGAGGCTCTTGGGTGGCTGCTGATGAAATGGGAAACAGAGGAACCAGCTAGCAGGTACTGGACAGCAAGGTGGAAGGACGGGCTAGTGGGTACAAGACAGCAGAATGGAGGAACGGGCTAGTGGGTACAAGACAGCAGAATGGAGGAACGGGCTAGTGGGTGCCAGACAGCAGGGCAGAGAAAGCGGCCTGCAGCTACCAGACAGCAGGGCAGAGGAAGCAACTAGCAGCTACCAGACAACAGGCAGAGGAAGCAACTAGCAGCTACCAGACAACAGGCAGAGGAAGCAACTAGCAGCTACCAGACAACAGGCAGAGGAAGCAACTAGCAGCTTCCAGACAGCAGGGCAGAGGAAACTGACACTGTGTGGCACGGTGCTTCCTGCCACACACTGCAACGCCACGCTAGCTAGAGCAGAGGATGGGGGGAATGGCATGTCACAACTGGCTGATCACCTCCCCCGCACTGCCCCCTCCACCCCCACCCCACACACCGCACACCACCCTCCCACACATCCAGGTCCTGCCAGGCAGCATCATGCATTTCAGCAGTGCCTGGGAGGAGTGACTGGCCTGTGGAAGCTTGCTCCAACCCCCCCGGGCCCAAACCAGCATGCAAGTCTGAGGTCTGGGTCATATTTACAACTAACAAATGACGCAAGGGTCTTTTGCTGTCTCACACACCCCACACAGAGCCCAACACATTCCGCTCAGGCTCACAGCATGCCATCCCGACAAGTTGAGAGTGATCCGGCTTGAGGAATCCACATTCTTCCCAAAGCAAGTCTGGAAGCAAGTCAGCTGAGGGGCGATCAGGACAAGATGAGAGAAGGGGGTGTGTGATGTGCATCTAAGTCCGGATGATGAAATACCAATGTGATCAGACCCACCCTGCACCATCGAGGGGCCCCAAACAAGGTGGGCCGTGCCACACCGGGTCCGGGTCTGACCTGAGCACATCCACTTCAGAAATGACCTGGACGGGTCTGAGAGCAAGGTTCCCCATTCGGAGGAACCGGGAGAAGGCACTTGTGTCCAGTCACAGTGATAATGCTGCCGCGCACACAGAACTGCTTCCAAAGGGAACGGGAGGGAAAATAGGCCATCGTGTAAAACAGGCGCGCAGCTTATCTGCTCACTGATTGGCTGGAGCCAGTCGGTCACATGGCTGCAATAAGCAGCCAGCCACCAAAAGCGTGTGACGACTCATCGTCCATCGTAGGTCATGTGACTTTTCCCCTGCAGCCTGCCTTTCATGCTGAAGCGTTTCCATGACAACGGCATGCCAGCAATCTCCGAGTGAGCCATTGGTGACAAAAGGTGCAAAAAGAAAGACCAAAAGAAAAACTGCAAAGCATTATGGGAACTTCGAATTTAGGCATAAAATAGGGCTCCTAAGAATTAACGTCCCTTCAACACGGGGCGCCCCCTGTTGGACCTCCTGACCCAAGGCCTGGGGGCTGGAACCCTCAGTGCATGGGGGGGAAAGCAACCCGCTATTTGGTCCACGACCCACTTACACGTCCCCAAAGCTTCATCAGAAAAAAAGCTTGTCTCTATGGAGACCAGGCGGGGGGGAGGGGCCTGAGCACTCTGCTTTAAATGAAGGAAACACACAGGCCTCTTTTGACCAATGCCCCCCCACCCACCCATTCACAGTGCACCTGCCCTGTGGACGTTGATGCACCAGCCCCCCCCCCCTCACCCGAGCCATGACAGCAAGGCTTCTATAAGCCAGACCATCTTGTTTCCACGATGCTGCTCAGCCTCAGTACCCACTACCCCATCAATCTGATCTCATCCATGATCAAGAAAAACATGTCAGATAGAACTGGTACTTGTTGATTAATTTAAAAAAATGTCTACAAATTAATTACTTTACATCTTGAATCTTCTAGCCACATAGTGCCCCTTAAGCTGCTCCATCTGCTGGCCTAGAGGGAGAGGTGCCACTTACCTTGTACACCTGTCCGTAGGTGCCATTCCCCACCAGCTCCACCAGCTCAAATATTCCTGCGGGGTCCTGCAAGAACAGAGAAGAACTGGGTTGAGGAAGAGGTGAGGATTACACAAACTGCCTTAGTTATACCAAAAAATGGACCCTAACCACTACTCCCCCTGCTGTTATATTCGGTACATTACAAGTCCAGAGTCTGCTGATCTCAAACGTCAGTCACAGAGAGGAAACACCCTGTGATGCAACCCCCCCGAGAATGGCCATGTGTCTGCTATCGGCCCTTCTGTCCGGTGCCTTCTGCACTCCGTGGGCCCAAGACCTTCAAACTCCGCATCAATGGAGAGGGAGACACACAGGAAGTGATCAGACAAGAAGTGTTCAGACAAGAAGTGTTCAGACAGGAAGTGTTCAGACAGGAAGTGGTCAGACAGGAAGTGGCACCCGCCTCGACCTTACAGACACAAGATGTGACCATGGAAACCAGCTCCTAGCATCCATCAGTACTCCAGCTAAACCAAAGGTACCACAATGTAGATGGACAGCGCAGGACACGCTGTGGCACCCTGGGTGGATACGCACCAAGCCCCCAGGGTGGATGTCTGAGGTGTTAATCCACACTGGCAAGTCCCTTGTAAACCAGGATCAGAAGCCCTGCACCCAAGAGGAGGTGACTTCCTGTCATTTATCCCTCCGTTTACAATCTGACAGGAAGTTGTTGTGTCCAGGCCTTACGGTTGAGACCCTCTGCCCTAACCGACAACCCCATGTGAAATGCCGTGCCAACCCAGGGCTTACTGTAGCTGGGGTATGAGCCCATGTGTGTGTGTGTGTGTGTGTGTGTGTGTGTGTGTGTGTGTGTGTGTGTGTGTGTGTGTGTGTGT